TGCAGTGTATTTTTGGCTCATGACAACCAGCATTTCTCTGAATATCACCTGGCTGGACACACCTCGGCATTACTGCATACCATTTTGCTATCCTGCAGCCAGCCCACTTGAAAGAATACCCATAGGGTATTCTGACTGAAGGTGGTAAGATGTTCAGATATTTCCAAACACTTTCCATTAATTTTGGCCCTAGAGAAGATACATAGTTCTCTTTTTGCATTTTTCTAGAGACACACAGTACAGGCAGTATAGACACCCAGTTTACATCTTCTGCCAACCTGTGATGTGGACACATCTGCAACAAAATATCCATATAAACTGCACAGTAGATAGGAATTTCCCTGTTAGCTTTGTACAGCAGTTTCATAAAATGCTGTTGAGCAGCTGATCGTGGGTCTTGTTTGGTTTCCTCCTCCTACTGCTCCTGCAGCATTACAACTCCAGGAGTGCTGGCAGCCCCACGGACTGCGAACGCCTCCTCGTGAGTGCTCAGCAGCTGCACAGCTCAGCCCTGGCAGTGCCATCCCCTCTGCCACCTGCCTCCAGCTGCAGGCTCCAGGGACACGTTTCGGGCTTCCTAGACTCAACTCTGCCAGAACAAGTTTTTGCCATTCGATATCCATTTAAATACCATTTCAAGGCTCTGTCTATAAATAGTGATTGTTTTGTGGTATGGGAGCTCTTTCTCCTTGCTTGCAGTTCCCCCATGTGCCCTCCCACCAGGGCTGCTCACAGGCTGCAACTGATCCTGAGACAGTGGACACTGAGACATTCTTCAGTGCAAGAACAAGAACAGCTGTATGTTCTGCTTCGGTTGCACACATAAACATATTTACAGCCTAGCTCATCACAGGATTTTTATAATTTAAACCATTATTCTTCTTTCAATATTCTTGATCATTCCTGTGGGTAGGAAAAGACATGGGCTTTGGAAATATTTTGATCTTTCCTTATGCTGCCTTCCAGATGTCCATCACTTGGTTCACATCTTGGTAGTAACCCTGGGCACATGGTAGCAGCAGAAGCCTTACCAGCTTCATACAGAGCAGACTGATTGCTTCAGATTCTGTGAAGTAGAGTTCAACTCTGCTGTGAGGTTTCTCTTCCTTGTAGGCATTAATGTTCCTCTCCAGATAAGCTGTACTCCGCTTCTGATACCTCCTTCTGAGACATCCCTCCAGGCAATTCTTACTCTTTTAATCATGTAGGTGGCCAAAGCCACCTGTGTAGAGGCTGCCATTGAGGAGTATTCCCTGACTCCAGGGAATTCCCCTCCCAAAAATCAGGATATTCCCTGGGTTTTGCTTTTTTTTGAAAGATTTTTGGTTCTGCTAGAGAGTTCTTAGTACACTGGCCCTTCTCTTCCAGTTTGCCTCGTGTTTAACAAGCATACTCTCATTCTCCAGGATAGCAACGAAAAATTTTAAACAAACTTAATCCACAAGAGGCTTAAAATAGTAATGTGGGAGGCTAGATTTTTGAGCTCATTTTCACATTTTGAAAATCCCACTGTTTCCTTGAGGAGGAAACAAAAGGATTATTTTGGTGAAATTGTTTGAGTTTTTTTCAGAACCTCCATTTGTTATAGTCAACACCAGACTTTGGACATCATAACCCACAAGTAGCAACCTGACAGTTCTAAAAAGGCACAGATTCTGTTAGGAACATAAAACCTAACTAGGGAGGCACAGCTATGACTGGTTCCCATGACATTTTACCCCAGTAATTGCAATAATCAAGCTAGTAAGAGGCATCAGGGTACCTTACAAGGGATTCTCATACTCACCAACTTAAAGATGCTCCTTAGAAGCAGTTTTCATAGAGCAGGAATTTTCACTGACAGCACTAGCTACTTCAGATAAAAGGTTGTTTATGTCCTGCAGTGTTGTCCCTCCAACAGGTATCAGGCTGACTGAAGCCCCCCATGAGGCCCAGGGCTTGTGAATGTGAGGTTGCTCCTGTGTGTTTACAGACTCATCCACTCAGTCTGCCTGGTTGGGTGGCCTGTAGCTAACCCTGTAGAGCAGGAATTTTCACTGACAGCACTAGCTACTTCAGATAAAAGGTTGTTTATGTCCTGCAGTGTTGTCCCTCCAACAGGTATCAGGCTGACTGAAGCCCCCCATGAGGCCCAGGGCTTGTGAATGTGAGGTTGCTCCTGTGTGTTTACAGACTCATCCACTCAGTCTGCCTGGTTGGGTGGCCTGTAGCTAACCCTGTCTACAATGTCACCTGTCCCTGCCTTTAATCCAATCCTGATCCATAAGCTCTCAGTCAGCTCCCCATCCATCCCCAGGCAGAGCTCCAAGCACTCCAGCTGGCCATTGCCAAAGAGGGCAATACTGCATGTCCCCTGCCTGTCCTTCCTGAAGAGCCTGAGTTTACACAGAGGCATTTAAGTTGGGCCCACACTGAGGCTGACTTACTGGCTGGAGTAGGTGGGATTCCTTTGTGCTGCTCTTCAGATGCTCCTGCTGACCTGCAAAATCCCTCTCCAGGCTCTGGGCATCTATGGCTGGCTCTGGCATCAAATTGAGATAAGGAGTGGGATGGACTAAGGTTCTTCTCCCGCAGCAACTTTACTTTAAAGTCCTCTTCCCCAGCTTACAAGCCTATGACCAAAGATGCTCAGGCAGATGAACATACAATACAGTCCACACCACCACGTAAAAACTGCTTTATTGATTGCAGTTTACATGTTACAATTAAATTATGATTCCAAGCATTATGCCAGCAGCTTATAATAAGCATAAACTGCCACCATAGTCACATGGAACTGAGCAAAGAGATGTTAGTCGCTGAGGCATCCTGAACTGGAATCAATTCTGCTTCTTGGGCATTGAACTGACAAGGAGATGATAAATAGCATAGGCTGTTCCTGAATTAAGAGACAGAAAAGATATTTTCAGAATGGCAAACAGAATTCCTTGTAAGTCAGCTTTCCAGTTTGCTCCAGAAGAAATAGTGACAACAAACAGCTGCAATTCAGACAAAACATATTTCCATAGCCACGTCTCAAGGATTTTCTTTTTGGTGATACATATTTTAGGGAAAAAAACTCCTTAAATAACTCTCTGCAGGCTGCACAAAAATAGAGAAACAGGGGAAAAGAAACTGGGGAGAGGCATGTTTGTGGAACCTACATAGATAATCATAAAGTAATGGCTACACATTCTTAGAGTAACTGAACTGAAAATCCACTAAATCAACATATTAAAGGTAGGAGTTATTATAAAATTATATAACAAGCAACATGAAGGTTAAATATATACAGTATTATGAACCTTGGATATAATTCTGATAGTTTCCACAGCACATGAAACCTCAGGACACTGATTATTACCTAGCACTAAGAGTCAGGCTAGTGAGAAAACTGGTTTATGTATGTGCTGTAATTACATTTTATCCCTTTTCAGAACAAGCTTTCTAAGTAGGTCCAGTTTTCTCTAACATCATACATGAATTCTGAAGGAATGCTACTCTTAGTCTGAGAAAAGGCCATCTGAAAAGCTAAACTTGGCAAAAGCACAAATAAATAAATAGTATGTCCAAATGGTTGTTTTTCCCTTCTCTACATGCATTTTACATGTTCTGAAGAACACACTGAGGAACTCTGTAACTAATTTACAGAGAAAACACCAGTGATGTTGGAGATTGTACAAAAGAACAAGTACTTTAATATTAGCACATTAGAAACCGTATTTGAGTATTAGCCTTACCAAACACCGTAAGACACATGGTGGTTCTATACAGCAGAGAATCCATAGCACCACCTTTCAGATGCACTGGGAGGCCATTATCCTCCTGATGGAAACAAGTGACAAAAATAAACCATTTCAATACAGTTCTTGCAATATTCTGACAATATAACTAGAATTACCCCAGAAGAATTAGTGTTAGGTACTTCCCCAAATTATCTTTCCAACTCCCAGAAGAAACTGAACCTTATTTAGGTCCCACTTTGCCTTTCAAGTTTTCACTCTGGTGTCAAGTGATTATTCACTAGGGAAGTATCTGAAGTGATGTGCACAATTCATTTCTAAAGCAGTGACACTCCTGACACCAGTTCCCAGTCCCCTTGGGTGCACAGGATATTATGAGCACCCCTAGAAGCTTCCCATCCATCTCCAGCAGTCTCCCCCTGCTCCTTGTCTTAAATAAATGGGCCTATGTATCTTCAGAACTCCCAAAACTGAACCTGATACAGGTTTCTGTTGAGAATCGTAACGGACCTGGATAGTTGATACCGGAAACTGAATTGTGAAAACTATGTCTAGTGGTTTTATAAGTGAGAGGTTGATCCAAAACCAGTTATATTTACATGAACAGGTGTTAGAACGTCAGTCTGAGGCTTTCGTTCTGACCCTTGCTAAGTGGAGATGTGGCATGCAGGTGCAAGGTTCAGAGTAGATGGCTGAGGGTTAATGGTAGTTGTATCCCAGTTGTACTCTGCAGCCACCGAGGGTTCTAGGATCTGAGAGTTCTAGACTCGGGTGCTCTAGGTTCTGGGTGTTCTAGGTTCTGAGCATTCTAGGTTCTGAGGGTTACAGGCTCTAAGTTCTGGTTCTGGGTATTCTAGGTTCTGAGGGTTCTAGGTTCTGAAGGTTCTAGCCTCTGGTGTTCTGGGTTCTGAGGGTTTGGGGTTTGCCATGACTGGCAGCAGTCTTTTGTTTTACAGTAGTGTGCATTTTTGAACAGAGGTAGAATATGACAGAGATACTGTTCTACAGTATGTTTGTTTTCACTTTTTAAAAAGATCTGCTGGGAGCTCGGAACACCCTACTGCAATTAGCATGAGGGCTTCTTTATTTTAATAAGGATGCAAGCAACTTAAAAATATGACAGAAAGATCTTTTTATTCCCTGTCCTCTCCACTCATCCTATCCTATGCACTCCAGTGCAAAAAATCTCAACCAACCAAACCAAATCAAACAAAAGATAATGTAGTTATGTATCTTGGATTCCTCCTTCCTTTCCTTCCTTCCATCCCCCCACAAGGGGAGGAGCTTGTACTGTCATCTGGTGTCACACAGGAAATTGCTTTATTCCACCTGAAGTAAAACTCCTAGGCACCAGATCTACATGATCTTTACCCTTGTCAGCAAGTTCACACTGTTCTGGAATTCAAGCCAGTCTCCAGTGCTGGTGATCAGCAACCCAGCCCAGCTTAATTTGCTGTCCCACAAGAAAGGAATGGGAGAAGGAACAGATATGCCTACAGATCTCCACCAGCAGAAACAGAACCTTTGACCTCCCCCATCACTAACATCCTACTTCCTTTTTGGCTCACAATCAACACTGTGCTCCCCAGGCAGTGTCTCAACAAGACTGGCTTTCTCTTTCAGGAGAAAAGAAAGCAACAAAACACAAGGAACTATTAAAGTGGGACTTCCAATATACTTTATCCCTTTCACATCACTGAAGCACAGTCTACTCTATCCTCAGTATGAAGCTACAGCTCCAGGTTATGGCTCACAGTTGGGAGTACACTCTTGAGTGTTCTCTGCTTTCACTGTTTCTCACTCAGTGGCCCTATCAATCAGGAACAGAGTAATTCAGAAATTATTCGTAAAGACTCAATAATTTTCTAGGAATTAATCCAATCACTTAAGACCTTTACTGTTTTGCTAAGTGAGAAATACAATAATGCCACATCCTCATTAAGAATGATGAGGCTCATCTATGAGGTATAGATACAGCTGTGAGATTTAGGTTTAACTTTTCATTGTATTTCTGTCCTCCCATTTGCTATTTTTCCCTATTTGTTCTTAGGACATTATCCCCCATCTCATTTCAGAGGACTTTGCACAGTGTCTAGTATTTATGAGAAACCAGGGTACAAATCATTTGACAGGGTAAAAGAGAGTCAGCAACTGAAGTATGCATGTACAAATACTTTTGATCTCTGTAGAAAATAACTGCTGATTACAAACACTACAGCCATACAACTGATTTCAAGAGCTCTCTTCAGATGTGAAGAGGAGCCTGACCAGTTCTTTAGAAACAAAACGTATGCTATTATGAGCTACTATAAATCTTGTTAATCTACTAACATTATTCAGTTCGCTCAATACCTGAAAAAGCTTCTGCTTCTCAGGAACTCTATTTTCAATATGCATGCGTGAAGCAGTGCTTATGGTTCTCTGGGAAATCTGGCGAAGAGCCTGAAATAAAAGATAAAAGTGTTTTAAAATGTTTTAACATTCCTCAGCTCTGTCCACCCTGGGTAGAAACAGTTTCTTCTAAAAGAAAAAAAGAAAGCCTTTTAAAAACAAACAAACAAAACTTCACCAAAACCTGCTAGTTTTGAAATCGGTAAATGTTTCAACAGACTGTGTAAAGGATTGCTTGACTGGTTACCTGAAAAGGAAATTCCTTTCAGCAAGATACAACCTATTTATGGATCTGCAACATAACCTTCACAGTTAGCATCCTTTTGGGGGAAAATACAGCCACTGCCCCTTAGGTTCCGGTTGCAAGCACCATTTTCTGAGTCTGAGTAGGAAAAGGAACAGTAATATTTACAACAAACATGTCTGTGGAGACAGGAACGTTCTGTCGGGGCTGCAGTTCACCTGCTAGCCACCAGCACAGGCTATAATCTTCACAGCGCTAAGAGGCACCTCCAGCCCAACATACATGGTTAAGAAACACCCTGTTGTGTCTTAAGGTGGAATCACAGTCTGATCGTATGGGTTAGGCCACCAAGAATAATGTCCTATATTTAACTGTTCCGGTGGCGCAGTCTCAAAGCGAAGCCTCAGGAGTCTCCTTCAACCAACACTGACCACACTCAATCCTTCCCCGCAAAATTACCATGGCTAAAAACGCAGCCGCGGGGCAAACAGGCAGGTGATGCTGCTCCAAGGAACGGGACAACACACCTCGTCCCCGCAGCGCCCTGGACCAACACGCTGTGGGATGTATCTCCTTGGAGACGAGACGAGTGACCCCCTGACTCAACCCCATCCCCTCGAGTCCCTAAGGGAGCGGAGCGAGCGAGCTTGGAGCGCAACACTTCTCCCCCACCCCGAGCAGTGCCCGGCAGGGAGGGAGGGCAGGAGGGAGAGCAGGAGGGATGGAGCACGAGGGAGGGCAGGAGGGAGGGCAGGAGGGATGGAG